GATACCAGCCAGAGACTTCGGTCAGACCAGGCTGCTAGAGCAGAGGACACCGTCCTTGTGGTGTCTGAGCAAGAGAGTGGTCCTTTGTCATTTCTGAATTGTCACTTGGCAGAGACTTGGTCCCTCTTTTAAGATCCCACTTGGTGCTGGAAGGGCAGACTGGATCCAGGTTGCAGGCTGGACGACAGCCATGTAGCCCAAAGCGGCTCTAAGCTCCCAAGAGGTTTCCTTCCTGGCTCTCCTAACTAAAGCCCATTTGGCTGTGTGACATAATGTACGGATATGGTGGCCATGGGGGGCTCGGAGGAGGCAAATGGCCTGAGTCTCTGTTGACTTGGGCTGTGTTATGGTGGGGGCCAGAAGTCAGGTGAGTGGAGGCCCAAAGATCACAGCTGAAGCTGGAAAGGGATCGAGGACTCTCTGATCTCAGCATGCACAGCCCTCTCCTGTGGGGGTGTGACCTGCGTGTTCTGTGCCCTGAGAGGGAGGGCTCTTTCAGGTCTGCTAAGAATTCATGGCACAGCCAGAGCTGCTTCTAAGGTCAATGTTACCAACCCTAGCTTAGACCAAAGGTCTTTTCTCCTTACATCTGAGATACCTCATGTGCATTCAGGAAAGAGAAATTTACTTTGGGGCCCCTTTTGAAGGCTAAAGTCTGTCCACAGTCTCTAAGCTCAACAGGTGATTAGAGAGGCCCAAATTCAATGTAATAACAGGCCACAGCTGGAGAGCAAGGAGTGGAGAAGGTTATAGGTTGCTGGGTTCTTTGTTACCTCAGTCCTGTCCTAAGTGTCTCCTTGGGGTGGAGACCCAGCAGCCAGTTCCACTCAGGCTCAGTGCCAAGAGCACTGGGGCACAAGTCAGCCAAGAGTGGAATGGGAGTTCTCTCTGTGGCACCACCACAGAAACCACGAAGCTGAGGATGGGCAAATGGTCCAAGAGATGTGAAGTATCATTGCTGAGGGTCAGATAGACTCAAGGATGAGGCCCAGCAAGATTCTTTTTTTGTTGTTTTGTTTTGTTTGAGACAGAGTCTCACTATGTAGTTGAGACTGACCTGGAACTCACTATGTAGCCCAGGCTGGTCTTGAACTCACAGTGATCCTCCTGCCTCAGCCTCCTGAGTGCTGGGATTACAGGTGTGTGCCACCATGCCTGGCCCCAGCAAAATTCTTGATGATGGTTACTAACTCACAGGAATCAGAGCCTGCACACTTTTGACAAGAGGATCTAGGGATACTGAATGTCTAAGGCAATCTGTATGCCCTAAATCATGTCAAAAGGGAAGTGGGTGCTTCAATCCAGAAAGGACTCTCCTCCCAGAAGGAGATATGGGCCCTCAGAAAGGACCCACAACGATCACCTTTGTTGACCAAGAAACTTACTGAGCTGTCCAGAGGGTGTGTTCTAATTTGTGGATCAGTGTCTAGAGTTTTCTCTCTCCCTTATTCCAAATAGAAGTTTTTAAAAAAATTGTAACCCTGTTAGCCTCTACCACTACTACTACTACTACTACTACTACTATTACATATTGGTTATGTAAGTAAGGGTAGCTAGCTTTATTCTTTAACCACAAATGGCAAAATCTTAAGAAGTCACATCCAGACATGATCAAGAATTATACATCACAGGCCAAGCATGGTGGTGCACACCAGTAATCCCAGCTACTTGGAGGCTGAAGCAGGAGGGTTGCAAGTTTGATGCCAGCCTGGGCAATTTGGTGAGATGCTATCTCAAAATAAAAAAGCTGGAGATCCAGCTTTGGGCTTCTTGGGTTCAATCCCCAGTACCAGAAAAAAAGAAAAAGAACTGCCCATCACTAAGGGTCCCTGGACTGAATAAAGTAACTGGTTATGGTACTGCTTTGTCCCCTGTTAAGAAGTAAGTCAGGTGTAGTAGCACATACCTGTAATCCCAGCACTCTAAGAGGATGAGGCAGAAGTAACTCAAGTTTTAGGCCAACCTGGGCTATACAGCAAGTTCAAGGTCAGCCTAGGAACATAGTGAGATCCTGTCTAAAAAAACAAAACCCAGACAAGAGAGGAAGTGGGTGTGTTTTTGGCTGGATCTAGCATCACTATGTTGAGAGGCAAACACATTATTTAAATTCTATGTTTGTCAACATACAGGTGGGTGCCAAAAAGAGTGAAATGTCATGGGACACTTGTTACTTATCTGCCATAATCCCTTTATCTGGGGACACTTTTCTCCCCTTCCTCTCAGTCCCAGTGAAGTCGTTGATTATGCTGGCCTTGCCTTTCATTCTGAAGGTGGGCATATGTTCAAAGCTGGCCGAAGTCTTCCCAGGGATTTTACAGCTAGAACTAAAACAGTAACATGTAGGAGGAAGCAGAGTCGAGAGATGATGTCTTCACTGGAACCCCTAGATCTAGCCATGCCTGAAGGCAGATACAACCTTTGACTTGTCAGGTATATAAATCAATTGATATCCTATTGGCTTAAACATGTATGGATTGGGGTGTTGCCACTTGCACCTGAAAGGGCCAGGCTTGTACATGCACACACAGACATAACAGCATGTTGTTTGAACGCAGACATTACAAAGTGACTTCCACCATCTTACCAGAGATCAGCACACTTTTTGTCTAGAGAACAAGACAAATATTTTAGGTTTTCTGAGCACATAGGACCTCTGTCTCATTTTCTTTTTGTTTTGTTTTTGACAACCCTTAAAAACGTTAAAACCAGGCTGGGGATTTAGCTCAGCGGTTTGGTGGCCTGCCTTACAAGCGCAAGCGCCAGAGTTCAATCCCCGGTACCAAAAAAAATAAAAATAAAAACGTTAAAACCTTTATAGGTCATATAAAAATAAGCTGTAGGCCATATTTTGCCAACCCCTGATGTAATCACACCAACCTCTGCAGGTTTGGAGTTGTCCACTCTGCCAGCCCCTAGCTTGCCCCAAGGTAGGAGGCAAAATACTTTAAATGCCATTTTGCTTTGAGAGTCTTGATGAGACTCAGTAATGAGTGAAGGTTCAGATTAGAGTTGAGAGTGGAAACAGGGTCTTGTCCTGTGCCCATCACCTGCACCATGACAGACATTAAAATAAATGGTAATCATTATTATTGCTTGGTAACAATAAGTTTTCAAAATGATGCACTTGTCCAAAGGCTTTGTCCAAATGTCCCAGTGTGTCCTTGCTGACCCCGCCCCTCAGTCTCCTTCCTGGTGTCTTTCTTGGATCTCTCCATGAGTAAAGCCTTAGCCAGGTGCTCTCCTCGTTAGCACAGACCTTTGCGATGCTCCACTGTAACTGTGTTGATGGTCTCTCTTTCTCCTTAATTCCGATCCTCATGGTGCCTATGTCCCACAACCCAGCACAGTGCTTGGCACCTGGCACTGAAGACTCTGTCCCTCCAGGTGAGTGTGTTTGCACGGCCAAGTGTTATACACCTCTGTGTGTGTGTCTCATGACTGGGTCAGTGTACACTGGCTCCCCTCTCAGTTGAAAATAGCTTGTGGACACACGATGCACCTTACCTGGTAGCATTATTGTCTTATCTATTCTTCATCCCCATGACCTCCAAAAACAAGCCAAAGACAGAGGAACAGGTGGCAACGAGTTTTCTTAGAAACTGTTACGAAGGAAGAACCCTCCAGCCCCAGCCCCATGTCCTTGGCTGTCTGAGCGATGTCAGATCAGAGGTCTCCAGCCTCGGCAACATCTGCAGAGACCCCAACACTTCTGGGGGCCAGGACTAGGTGGATCCAAGTCTGTGGGGCAGAGGGAAATGATTCCCCCAGGTAAAACATGTGCAAGGCCCTGTAGGCCCGAGAAAGGCTGACCACAGCAAGGTGCATCACGGTGTTCTAGGCTGAATCTTGGCCCATCTCACAGAAGCAGGCAGGAAGCACCACCACGGATCAGCTTTATATGGCACCCACTGTATACAACAGACAGACAAAGACGGACAGACAGAGCACACATCACTTCTAAGCCAAACACTGCTCACCATCTAGAACCACCTTAGGTAAGCACGTAGGAGACACTCTTGCATAGGAAAGATGTACTTCGTAAAGGAATGAAGAAGTATTTTGGCAAAACATCTACTTCCCTTCTAGGCCCTGGGTAAAGAGGGACCTCTAATTCTGAAGCTTCTACGTAGCGAAAATGATCCCCTCCTCGATGGCAGTATATACAGTTGCGAACCTTCCTGCCTGTGGTCACAGCCTTCTACGTGAATCTTGAAACTACTTTACAGGTGGACAAACTTCAACTAAGAGACAGAAGGTGGCCCAGAGCAAGGGGACATGGGTTTGGCTCAAGGGGAGGGGACATGGACGGTGTCTCAGCTCAGCCAAAGGCAAGGCCTCTGTCTTTCTAGGCTGGAAGGAAAAGGCTCAGGCGGTCCCAAATCCCTCTCTTTCTTCCTGGTTGGGGAAGCACTGGTTCCACAGGAAGGCTGTTGAGGACAGGAAGGTCCCCTCTCCTGCTGACCAGGGACCACTCAGGATGACAAAGGCCACACAGGCCTGAATTCCTCCCAGTGCCTCTTTGGGCTTCTCTCTGAGTTGGGGCTGTAGACTGTGGGTTCACTGCTTGCTTCCATAACCCTCTCGTGCCCTACAGATGAGCCTGGACCTTAAAGGGGATGGGACACAGGACAGTCTTCCACAGGCTCCTCTGCCTGGGCTGGGCTTGGCAAGGGTCACTTCACCCTGTCTCCTAGGGATAGTTAAAGGCAGCTTTTATGAGACTCTATACTTTTTTGTTTCTCTTATGTTTTTTTTTGTTTGTTTCTTTAATTT